TCTCTCTCTCTCTCTCTCTCTCTCTCTCTTTCGTAGTAATTTTATTCTTTTATCGTTAAATATGATTTAATAAATAAGAATTTGCTTCTATCTATCTTTTTATTATTCATTAACGACACCATTATCTTAAACTTGTTTATTTAATTTCATGATCCTTTTTATATTCTTAACTTTTCTCGATAATTTATTAAAAATGTCAATAACCTTCGATAAGAAAAAAATAAAACAAAAAGAGAAAAGGAGAGAGAGAGAGAGAGAGAGAGAGAGAAAGGGGATGGAGGTAAGTTTTCAACTTTACAAGCACGATTCATGCCTACCACTTCCTTTATCTCCACCCATTCCCTCCCTTCTTAATATTATCTGTCAAGAAGCTTATTGCTTACCCCCACCACCGAACCCTCTTTTTATCTCTTTTATCGAAGCTTCGATTTTTTCATCTCTTTCGAAATCTTTCTTCCACTTTTATCGACTTTTTATTCTTTTCTTTTTTTTTTATTTGTCATCTTCCTTTCATTCTCTCTCTCTCTCTCTCTCTCTCTCTCTCTCTCTCTCTCATACTTTTTTGCTATCTGCGTCTTATGTTGGTTAATTTTTTGTTCTTCCTACTTTTTTTTCAATTCAATTAACATTATCTCTCGGATAATATATATATATATAACAGTATTAAATAAAATTAATGGAGAGAAATAATAATCGGATCTGATATCGATAGATTGGTTAAATTAAAATGAATAGGAGGGAGTTTAGTGTATGATTCCCAAAGCATCGGATTTAAATTCCCAAAATGTTCTCTCAATTATTATTATTTAATCTCGAAATTGTTGATAATATTATTCATCGTATCTCGTTTTCATCCTTTAGTAAGAGTCGTTTATATTTCCAATAAATTTTACATCCATATACACACGCATACACATATACGATGAAATGTCGTATAATACGTGAAATGTATTTATTATGAAAATATATCAGAAAAAGAGAGAGAGAGAGAGAGAGAGAGAGAGAGAGAGGTGGGGGGGGGGAAATAATTTAATCAAGATAAAAAAAAGAAGAAGAAAGATAGAAAGAAGAGAGAAAGGGGAATAACAAAGGAGGTAATAGAGTAAAATAAAAAATAAAAAAATAAAAAAAAAATATAAAATGAAAAAAGAACGGTTGATGAAAAAGTTAAGTCGAAGTTTAAAATAACTGGTAAATAAGTTTATAGTAAAAATCTTATCGGATACGTGGGAACGGCTTCTAGTATAATATTATAACATCGTTTCTCCTTCATTGTACGCGCTTCCTGTGTTTTTCTCCTTGTTCTATTTTTCTTTTTTTTTTTTCTGTTTTTTCTCTTTTTTCTATTTTTTTTTTTTTTCATTAACGTCGTGTGTGCAGCAGCAGCTTTCAGAATATATGGAAATCTGGTAGAGATGGAAAAGAGTTAAAAAAAAAAGAAAAAGAAAATAAAAAACTATAAAAATGAGTGAAAGAGAGAGAAAGAGATGGATAGACAGATACTGTGACTGCATCTAGGTAGATGTATGTAATCAGGATGAAAAAAAAACAAAGAAATTGAAAAGAAAAAAAAAAGAAAAAAAGAAAAATTACGGACGGGTCTACTACTCTCGTAATTTTGTCATAACGAGACGTATACATATACAGGGTGTCCCATTTAAATAAATCCAATTAAATATCTTCGAAACTATCGATGGTTGGACAAAAATGTTTGTTAGACAAAAGTTGAATGGTTTAAAGGAGAAGCATATTATTTGATATTATTAAGATATTATTAGTTTGTTTTAAGGGTGGACGAGTAAAGATAACACGAAGAATTAACTATGATTAATTTTTGTTAAAACAATTATATATTTTATAATGCACCAATTCGTGCAGGTTTTTAACCCTAATCGATCGTAAATCATTTAATAAATAATGATTAATTAAATAATGAAATTCTTACAATAGTGAACATTTCTTTTTTTTTTTTTTTTGCATATATATTTATCGAAACCAGTTATAACTTAAATGAGAATCACGTAAAAAAAAGCTGATGACCGATAAGGGTTAATCCTTATATAAAAGTATCGAATCACTTATGACGATGTGTGTGTTCTCTCTTATGTAATAAAATACAATATATATATATATAAATATATCTATCTTTCGATTATATAATAAGTCCCGTGTCTTTAATCCTGTCATTCTTTTTTTTTGTAGATCTTCTATTGAAAACGATCCTTATCAAAAAGTTTCCTCCTAACACCCGCCCTAATCCCTGGATCTACCCTTTTTAATAATGCATCCCTTTTTGTTAGTGACGGAAAGTCGGTGCCTTTAAATGTGCTCATTAAGCTTACTCGTTATCACGGTCGGTGATATCGGATATCCGATAAATCGTACAGCGAATGCGTGTTGGACAAAAAAAATCTCGTTGGAAGAAAGAAAAGAATTTGAAGAAAAATGAATAAAAAAAAAAAAAGAAAAAAGAAGGAAAGGAAGTAGAAAATCTACTATATATTTCAAGAACGAACCTCGGGTATAAAAATCCGGACGAAATTATTCACCGGACGACGCTCGCCTAATATAAGTCGTCTTCTAAATCTCATCCGTTCTTTTTTTTATTTTTTTAAATATAATTTTTTCCATTTTTCTCCTCTTTTTTATTTTTTTTAATCGAAATTTTAATCATACCAAATTCATCAACCACGATATTGTTTTTCATTAATTTAAGAAACATCGTCAAGAACAATTCAATTACTCGCGTATTTTTATAAATCATTTCATGTTCGACTAATCAAATTTTGGAATTTGTTTGATAATTAAATCGATGATTTAATCTGATCGTAATATGAAATAATAATATTTTGTTTAATTGATTCTCAAAAAAAAGATTGTAATATATTAATAACCAGACACGAGCAGTTATTTAAGCCACGACAATTTTGTAAAAAAAAAAAATAAGAAGAAGAAAAAAAGCAAAATATACGACAGATGATGAATTATTAACACACTCGTTCGATAAAGTAATTTAATTAATTATTAATAAACTAATGGGCGAAGTTTCATATATAATAAGGAAGAAATGAACAATGTCATATGACTGTTGTTTGTAAATAACAACATGGAATATTATTCAAACTCGAATAATGATCCATTTGATTGTATTCCAACACTAGTATTATACATTTATATATAGGAATATGTGTGTATATATAGATGAGATTTGAACTTATCGTTAACGTAGAAAGAGAGAGAGAGGGGGAGATAAAACAGAAGCGAATTCGTCGAATAATCAAACTGCATGACGATCACTGAAGCATCGGCTAATTTCATTAATTAATAGCTCGTTCACAGAATAATCCTGTCTCATCGATTCGTTCACGTTTAAAATGCATATTCGAAGTAATATTTATCTAGATATACTAACGTGTACATCTACACACACACACACACACACATATTATCAATCAAAAATTGGATATACCAATAAATTTATTTAACAAATCGAAAAACTTGTTAAACAAACATTTATCAACCTTTTTCTAAAACAATAATGACACTCGTATATACTTTTTATATACTTATGAATATAAATGACGTAAATTAAAATAAATAATATATATATATGTAGTAATAAATTAATTTTGCACAATTTACATTAAATTTCAAACGTTATCAACCCAAAGAAAATAAGTTTCACTTGATGTTTATAACACGACGATTCAAACAAAACTGATCGTTTCATAACATCTCGTGTCTTTATCAGCAAGCACAATACTTTGAAAAAAGTATACACACGTACACGAATATACCAAATACACGTATTAGATCATACGTATTGTTTAGTAATATGCGCTATTATATAAACAACACATACTTCTATTCCCGGAATCTTTGCTTTTTTTCTTTTTTCTCTTTTTGTTTTACAATTTTTATCCGTGTATTACGTATTTTATTTTATTTTTTTTGTATTTTTTCAAAGTTCTTATTGTTAGCAATTGATGATAAATAAGAAATCAAATTTAATTAGTGAATTTATACGTGTGTGAGAATATATTTTCAAAATTAATAATTTACATATTTTATCTTGTATTTCTTTTTTGACGAATCAAACTATTATTGTTACTACAAATGCATTAATTATTATTTTTTTTTCTCTATCTCTCTTTCTCTCACTCTTACAAATATTCCATTTCTCGAAATATGTATACGTAGAATTTCAATTGTTTTTTGATCGATAGTGTATAAGATTTCGTACGTATTATCTATGTATATATATATAAAAAAAAAAGAAAACAAAAAAAGAAACCGTGCTTAGATTCGACGTGAAATTTATACATT